CAGCAGACCATTCACGATTCCACATATCTCCTGTCCATTTCCCGTCTCTCCTCACACCCGGATGCGTACAGGTGCTCCATTGAGCTCCATCATAGTCCCCCAGGCATGGTGGGGGCTGAAGGTTACTCCCAGAGTTATCTCTCTCTCTCCCCTGGCACCCTCTACACTTGAAGAGAGGAGGGAGTTTATAACTACCACCATCACTTCCCCCAAACAACCTGCACTCAGGTTCTCAGGGAAAGGGGGAAAAATGTATGAAATTAAACAAACGTTGTTGGCGTATGCCTGCATGCGAGCCTCACGTCAGGTTAGAGTCTTGGTTGTTGAAAGACACAACAAAAATTATCTAAGCCAATCTCTAATCCAGTGCGGAAATCCCTTTGGCGAAACTGATCCGGTTGTCTATTACCAAGTAGCAAACTACCAGAAAACGTAATGGCTTAAAACAACAACAATCTTATTTGCCTGTGGTTCCATAGGTTAATCCGAGGCATCCGAGGCCAATTATTTGGTTGGGGTCATTCACTGGAAGAACCAAGAAGATTCCACTCACGTGTCTGGTGCCTCAGTGCTCCCCCACACAGCCCCTTTCTCTCTGCCTGGCTTGCCTGGGTTTCCTTACAGAGTGATGGGCTAAGGTCATAGGGCTTCTCATGGGGGCAGCTTCCAAAAGTGAGCATCGCAAGAGGGGCCAAAGCTACAAATCTCCTGTATCCTGTCCTCAACTGTTACACAGAGTCATTTCTACTGCACTCTACCGATCAAAGCTAGTCACAAGGCCAGGGCAGACTCAAGGGAAGAGCAGTCTCAAAGAGAGACATGGCAAAGAACGTGCCACCGGCCATATTTAATCCACCACAGAAACTTTTCAGATACCATTTCAGCCCATGGTAAGCAGTTCCTGCAATGAAGATCTCATCACAATACAAGGGTAGCTCACTTACAGACAGCTCTGACAGGAAATATCCTAGTTCATAAACCTGGCCCTTCCCACTCCAGAGTCCATGTGCTGGTGTTCCTGTCAGACATTGCCCTGGTGAGCCCCACCAGGGCCTCACAGATACAACCTGCAAGTCTGAGGCTTTTCAAAATGCAGATACGCCAAATCAGAATCAGAATGTGAGTACTGACGTGTAAACATTCACATTCAGCAAGTTAATTCTTAAAACAAAAACAAACATATAATTACCATGGCCTTCTTTGGAAATAACACCAAAAGTCTGCGTTTGGGTTCCTTAGTGAACCTCATGGCTTTACCGAGCCCTCCATGAATGTCCACACAGAGCGCCCCACAACGTATCATCTCTCTCTCTCTCTCACTAAAGTTCTCAAGGAGAAGTTCAACCCGAAAATCTCTGAGAACTCATTCCCTCTGGAATCTCCTTGTGAAATAAATGAACCCCAGGACCCCAGCTCCAAGGAGCCACCCTCCCAGTATCTGAGACTCAGCTCACCTCTGGGAAGGAGGGGGGCCAGAGACTAGAACATGTGATTCTTGCTGTTAGAGATACACAGAAAGTATTGGTTCTCTTCCCCAGCAGACTTGAACAACCAAAAGCAAAATCCAACGATACGAACTGAACATCTCTCCACTATGGATTGACTGGATTATGGATACTATCATGGAATTATTGTTCATTTCAACAGGCGCGATCAGGATTGTCCTGGCTACCCAGGGGCAAAGGTACTCAGTCATGGGAGAGGCACGCTGAAGTACATAGTGTGTGATCAGGAGTCAGCAGACTAAGGCTCCCAGATCTGCCCCCTGTTATTTAAAATAAAGTCTTGTTAAAGGACAGTCACCCCCATTTTTTTACATATTGTCTGTAGCCGTGTTTGTGCTACAATGGCCTGGTTGAGGAGTTGTGACAGAGACGGTGCGGCCGACAAAGCCTAAAATATTAGCTATCTGCACCTTTACCGAAAATAGTTTGCTAACCCCTGGGCTGGAGGATATGATGTCTACAGCTTCCATTCAAATTGTTTAGCGAAACAATTTAGCAGTAGCACCAAAAATGTACATACGTAGATATGTGTGTGTATATATACGTCTGCATATAGATAGATGCAGATATAGAGGAAGAGGAGGAAGGAGAATGAAAATTGGACAAGGCATCAATAACTGGTGAATTTCAGGGGAGAACACACGAACATTTGTTTTTTTCTCTCATTGTTGCTGCAAGTCTGAAATTGCTTTTAAATCGTATGTTTTGAGAGTAAATGAATCTCCTAAAAATGTATATAAAACGCAAGGGAAAATTAAATAAGATCAATAGCAATGTAAATATATAAGCAGCAATTGCAATAGGTTTTAAAGTAATGAGAACAATCTTCATGATAGCAACAAAAAATATTCAACCTAAGGTTTACATAGAAAAGAAACGTGGAGCATTTAAATAAAACAATAAACTTCGCTCAGTTCCAAAAGACGGAGGCACCATGCGTATATATAAGTTATTGTGCATGTTTGGGATTGGGTGGACGATGCATAGAGAGGTGTTTCAAAAATTTTTATCAAGGACAGAAAGAAGCTTTGAGTAACAGGAAGAAGACACCACACCCTGAAAAAGAAGACTGAACGAGAAAAAAATCTCTAATGCGGATGTAATTCCAATGAAAATCACCGTGTGTTTTTTTGTTGTTTCGGGGAGGAGGACGGCGACATGATGATTCAGATGTATCTCTAGTGGGCCAAGAATGACTAAAATTAGCCAAGGACATTTTGAAAATGAAGAGCAAGGATAGGTTCTTCCCTGATAGCAGATGTTAAACTTCATTTTAAAAGCGACAATAGGGGCGCCTGGGTGGCGCAGTCGGTTAAGCGTCCGACTTCAGCCAGGTCACGATCTCGCGGTCCGTGAGTTCGAGCCCCGCGTCAGGCTCTGGGCGGATGGATGGCTCAGAGCCTGGAGACTGTTTCTGATTCTGTGTCTCCCTCTCTCTCTGCCCCTCCCCCGTTCATGCTCTGTCTCTCTCTATCCCAAAAATAAATAAACGTTGAAAAAAAAAATTTAAAAAAAAAAATAAATAAAAGCGACAATAATTAAATAAGTGAATCTGGTTCAGGAATGATCAATGAAGAAGAACCCATGAAGAGATCCAAAGGTAGGTAAGAAGAATCAAGGCAGCGAGTGCACTAAGAGAAGGGAGATGATATAATAAATGATGATGAGACAATTTGCTAACTATTTGGAAGAAAAACAAAGTTATAGCCCTATATCATACCACACTCTAAGGTGGAGGGAAATTGGGGCGCGTGGGTGGCTCAGCAGGTTAAGCCTGACTTTGGCTCAGCTCATGATCTCGCGGTTTGTGGGTTCATGATCTCGCGGTTTGTGGGTTCAAAAAGCTCCGTGTCGGGCTCTGTGCTGACAGCTCAGAGCCTGGAGCCTGCTTCTGATTCTGTGTCTCCCTCTCTCTCTCTGCCCCTCCCCCGCTCACGCTCTGTCTTTCTCTGAGAAATGAACAAACCTTAAAAGAAAAATTAAACTGGAGGGAAATTAAGTGCAAAAAAATAAAACCATGAAAGACATAGAAAACAACGTAGATTAGTGTTTTATAAGCTTGTAGTGGCACAGATCTTTCTTAGCATGTAACAATAATTTTTAAAAGATTGATATAGGGGTGCCTGGGTGGCTCAGTCAGTTGAGCGTCTGGCTTCGGCTCAGGTCACGATCTCGCGGTTTGTGAGTTCAAGCCCCACATCAGACTCTGTGCTGACGGCTCAGAGCCTGGAGCCTGCTTCAGATTCTGTGTCTCCCTCTCTCTGTACTCCTTCCCCACTCGTGCTCTCTCTCTCTCTGTCTCAAAAATAAATAAACATTAAAAGAAAAGATTGATATAGTTGGCTAATAAAACTTGAAATCTTCTGTACGTCCAAAAGCACTATAACCACAATTAAGAAAAAATAACACTGAGAAGAATATTTGCAACATAAATGATCTTAAGGGGCCATTTTTCTATCTAATCATTATAGGAAAAAATACTTTTAAAATGTTTAAATGTGCACATTACATGAATATACAATTTATAAAATAATATCATTTTTTTAATTTTTTTTTAAGATTTTATTTATTTTTGGGACATAGAGAGACAGAGCATGAACGGGGGAGGGGCAGAGAGAGAGGGAGACACAGAATCGGAAGCAGGCTCCAGGCTCCGAGCCATCAGCCCAGAGCCCGATGCGGGGCTCGAACTCACAGACCGCGAGATCGTGACCCAAGCTGAAGTCGGACGCTTAACCGACTGAGCCACCCAGGTGCCCCTAAAATAATATCATTAATAGGATTCAGCAGATTATTATTTTCTTCTTTTCATTTATATGTATTTTTGAGTTTTCTACCCTCACCCCCAAAATATATTATTCCTGTAGGGGGAAAAAATGCAAAATAGGGACCAGGAAAAAAATTTTTTTTCAGGCAATCTTAACTTCTAACTAGAGCAGTGTAAATCTCCTTTACTGGCACTGAACTTTCCTAGCATGAATAGGTATGCAAGGTTCCCAACAACTTTCTGTCTGGGGCCAGAAAATGTGCATTTTTCATCTCCTTACATCCTCCAAAAATCTCAAGTTGGATGTTGTTATTACCCTAATATTATAAACAAGAAAGTGAAGGCTCAGAGAAGTTCAGCCAGCTTCCCAAGGTCACGCAGCACTAACCAGTAGAACTGGAACTGGATGCCAGGCTGGTCTGACCACAACCTCGACAATTTCTAGGTCCCTTTGCAGGACCCTTCATTTGGGAGGCAGAAGGTCTGAGTTCTGATCCTGGCTCGGTCCCCAGCTACTTGTCCTTGGCAAATCTCTTCCTCTGTCTAACCCTCAGTTTCCTCATCTGTCCAGTGAGAAGTGACTTGGCCCAACTGGTGTGTCAAATTCCTTCCTGCTCAGACATGTGAGATTTCTGTTCAGTGCCAACCAATGCTCAAACCAGAGGTGGGCGCCAGTTGCCTGGGAGCCCGCATAGGTGGCCACACACACGTTCCACGCACGGCCTCACCTTGAATTCCTCGTGGATGCGCTCCTCCAGGACTTTGGCAGCCTTACGGTCTTCCGTCTCCACTTTCCACTTCTCCGCCAGGATCCGGGCTTTCTCATTGGCCAGCGCATCCCGAAACTTCTTGGTGATTTCTGCCTCCTTCTGTCTCCTTCCAATAAAACACCAGCAGATATAAGCTCATGCAGGAGACTGAAGGACCACGTAACCACAGAGCTTCAAATAAAAACTATGGGCAATATTTCTGGGTCCATCAGAATGACAACGATCTAAGGTCAGCAAAACTCAATGTTGCCAAGTTGGAGAGAAACAGTCACCCTCCTGGAAGGGAGTGTCAATCAACAGAATTGTCAGGAAGCCAGGGATTAAAAAAAAAAAAAAAAAAGACTCAGAAATCCTATATCTCACTCAAGTTTACAAAGATGTAGGTAGAAGATGTTCATCAGAGAATTTTTATAACATAACAAACGGCAAACAACCTAAATGTCCATCAACAGGGCCAATAAATTGGGTTTCTCATGTAATAGGATACTATATAGTAGTCTTAAATAACACTGTGAATCTAATCAATTTATCAAGGTGTGAATAAAGCAGTTTATAAAGCACGTGCTGCCTAAATGCTCACCGTGATTATCTCAGGCGGTGGGCGTTGAGTTGTTGCTACAATTTTACAACTAAAATATTGTTATTAAGGGGAGCCTGGGTGACTCAGTTGGTTAAGCGTCTGCTTTCGGCTCCGGGCACGATCTCACGGTTCGTGAGTTCGAGCCCCACCCCGGGCTCTCTGCTGTGTGCGCAGAGCCCGCTTCAGATCCTCTGACCCTCTCTCTCTGCCCTCCCCCGCTTGTGCTTGTGCTCTCTCTCTCTCTCTCTCTCAAAAATAAATACATACATATATTAAGTAAATGAATGAATGAATAAATAAATAAATACTTAAAAATAAAATAAAATATTGTCACTTATTTTATAGGGGGGGTAGGGGAATGTTGAAGTCAACTTCATATGGATTTCCGAAAAAATAAGTTAAAAGTTGTTTATGAAAGAAGTCTGACTCCAAATCTCACTGGGGGCTCAACTATGCACCTTGTGTGAGAAAGGCAGGTACGGTGAAGAGCAACAAGCAGCCACAAACGTGAACCCAAACTCCTCTGCTGTCCCAGGGACAGCTCCGCAAGGAATAGAGGAAAAGCATGCCATCTGTATCATCGCAGTGAATCCAATCTATGTCCAGATGGAAAGGGTGTTGTTATGCCCGCACCACAGATGTGAAAACTGAGACCCCAGATCAGCTTACAAGTAACTGGTGGAGCCGGGATTTGAACCCACCAGACCTACCTGATGGAAGACTGGTGCTTTGGTCCCCTAATCTTAGCTGAGCTAAGAAAACGGCCAGCCAGCTGCCTGGCACCTCCCCCCTCCCACCCACAACCTAGTGTCCTGCGGCTTGGACCCACCGTAGGCTCTGTGTTCAGACCCGACCCGGTACCCGTCTGCACCTCTCACCAGAGCTCCTCGGCCTCCCTCTGTGCCTGCAGCCGCGCCCTCTCCGCAATCAGCTCCTCAGAGATCTCTTCATAGGGCTTGTCGCCAGGGCCTTCTCCCATGATCCAGACCCAGACTTCACCATCTGCCCCCAGGAGCCACTGGATGTGCTTGTCACTCGCTGCCTCACAGCAGAAGGAGGCACCAGGAAGGAAGAAGAAACAGGTCTGAGTCCCAATTAGTACGGGATGAGCTAGGTTGGCCGACGGAGCACAACCTTCACACCTCTCTACAGAGCAGTGTCATCGACAAAGGCATTCCAGAGAGATATCGGCCGGCCCGAGTGCAATGCCACCTCCCTCTCTCCCTCCCGCCCCTTCTGGGGAGCATCACAGCTGCCAAAGCCGGTGCCCAAGGCTGGAACTGGTGTTGGAGGCCGAGCCCCTCTGAGATCTTCAGCAGACAGCGCACCAGTCCTTCCTCTCTCTCCCTCCAGTCCACTGGCTGGAAACGGGGAACGGAGATAGTGTTGCAAGATGAAGACGCTAGGCCCCTGACCCACATCAGCCTGTAACGTGAGGAAGAAATAAACCCGTGTTGTTTTAAGCCACTGAGATTTCTTGGTTTGCCGGCGGCAACAGACCCCATCGATTCCCGTGACTAAAATGCAAATCTGTCCCCAAAGCGGGGTAGTGCTGACACAGAAATGTAAACTATGTAATGCCATTGCCTTAGCAGGTTGCTGGCATTCAGCAGCAGGCTGAATGGATGGCCAGAGATCCATGCTATGCAAGGGCAAAACACTTGATCAAATTGTCAGATGCTGCAACTGGAAAGGCAGACCCTCGTACCTTCTGACTTTGCCACTCTAAGGAAGACGCTAGAAACCAGAACATTGAGAGCGGGTGTTGGTTGCTAGCAGCTGTGTTCAGCAAGGTGTTAAGAGAAAGAAAGGAGTTCAAGAAAGGATTGAGTGCTTAGCAAATCAAAATGAAAGAGAATAGAGAGAATATAGAAATTTGGGACTTTGTAGGATTGGAAAAGCCACCTCTTTCTAGGGCCCAAATTACAAGAGATGGGATTTTTTTTTTTTTTTTAAGTTTTGCATGACAGAGCCTCATAAAACTTCTAAGGTGAATAAAGTGACCTAAGGTACAGGTGGCCATGAGAATGTGCTCCGCAGACATCCAACTACAGACAGCATAACTGAGCAAACAGTACAGTCCCTGTGCTCCTGTGTTTGCCCATGGCCGTGCTTCCCAGAGGTGGCCCCAGTCTTTGACTCAGCATGGTGGGCCCATTTCTAGGGGACACCAGACCCTCCGGATGGGCAGCTTCCATGCGGCCTGGACAAGCTTCCCTTGGGCTGCATGGCTGCCTAGAACACCTCGTCCCCTCATCTGCCTTCCCTGCCTCCTTCACTCAAGGTCAGACTTGTGCTGCAGGGTGATGGCTCTCCCACACTCCTCCAGCACTCTTCCCCTTTCCCCCCCAGACGTTTCCTGAATAAAACCCTTGTGTGTGTAACCCCATCCCTGTCTCTAACTCCTCGGAGGAGCCAGGCTAACACAAGCGCATGAAGAATGCAATCCTTCCCACTTACTTTTCAAAGAGCCTAAGATAGATGCCCTTCGGTTGCAAGTAGAGGTATAGGGAAAAAGAGGCAGAGAATCACAGTCAGCTTGCAAAATATGTCTAGAAAAGAATTTTAGATGTTGTTCCTGGGACATGGAAGCAAACAGGTCAGAAGCCTACTAAGTTTTTGAGTCTGAACTAAAACAAAAAAGCCTTCGATTATTCAAGACTTCAGCAACCTTTGGGTACCAACCTGAATGAATGGGAGGCAGATTTCAAAGGGTATCCTGATCCAAGGAGGGCGTGGTCCTCAACACTCAGTCAGATAAAGCCAAGGGGGACAATGAACAAGGAGGAGCCTCCTCTAGGGCACAGTCCTACCCTCACTCAAGGCTGTCCCCTCACTGCCAGGACAGGAGAACTTCACAGTGCCTGACTAGCAGGACTTCAGGAATGCTATCAACTAGTGACTGAGTGAGGCTCACATTCTCCTCATTTCCATAGTGGACCTGCTCTACTGCTGTGCACTGTGTCGTACGGGGTGGGGGTGGGGGTGGGGTTGTTTAGGTAACATGTCTTTTCAGCCACATCCAGACATTCTAGAGATTAATGCAGAATCCATGCAGACTGTGGACTTTGGGCTGGATGCAGTGACTGCCTGCGACTTGAGGGTGTCCCCATTAAGGAGATGGTGAGTGTATTTACATGGAAGAGGAGAACACAATGTGTGAGGGACCAGAATGACAATCTATGACAACGGCCGTGCTGTCTGGCACCCTATTTCCCTTCCCTGAACCCACCAGATGACTACTTTTCTCAGCTCCCCTTCAGCTCCATGTGGCCATGTGAAGGAATTCTAGTCTATGAATGTCAGGGGATCTGATTTGTACGCTCTCAGGCTGTGGCTTTTGCAACTGGTATGTCTTTTCCTCGTTGTCTCTCATCCACCCATTTCATCCAAGATGGTGGCATCGTGAGAAAAAAGCAGCCTGATCCACGAGTCCATGTTTGAAAGCCAATGACACAGAAGAGTTACCTCATCCACATCAAGAAATAAAGCTTCCTCACTTAATTCGCTGAAATTTCAGCGTGTATCTATTACCGAGGGCAGCATTAATTCCCTGATACAGGAGGGCACTGTCATTTTTCTGCACATTGAAAGAAATATTGTAATAGAGAAACACAGGCTTAATTATGACTGGTAGAAACAGGGAGGCAACCGCTATTAAAATTATAAATCTTCTTAAATTTTTTTTAATGTTTATTTATTTTGGGGAGAGAGAGAGAGAGAGAGAGAGCATGAGCATGGGCAGGGCAGAGAGAGAAGGAGACACAGAATCCGAAGCAGGCTCCAGGCTCTGAGCTGTCGGCACAGAGCCCGATGCGGGGCTCAAACTCACAAACTGTGAGATCATGACCTGAGCTGAAGTCCGACGCCTAACCAACTGCGCCCCCCAGGCGCCCCATACATCTTCTAAATTAATAGTGGGGGGAAATAAGTGATAAGAGGCCTACCGATCTTATGAAAATATGTAAAGGGACAAGAGAAAACAACAAAAACTATGCAGCTGTTACAGCAGTCAGTTCCTGACCACTGCCCACCCCACCCCCACCTTCCTCCCTGCATCAGAAAACCCCGATCTGCTCAGGGTGTTACAAACATCTCTCAGCTTTGGGAGAGGCATGTTTCTACGCCGGCCTCAAAGGACAAGTAAAACTGGTGAGCGATCGATCTAGAAGAGAGCAAATGTCCCTGTTTCTGGCAACGTGGACGTAAGTGGAAGTCTGAGCAAAGGGCTTTCCCCCTCGGAACGAAAGGGGAAGACTCCTTGGAAGAAACCCCTTCACCCTTTCCTCCTTCCTCCTCCCTGGAATGAAGAGGTGAGGCCAGGGACAGCAGGAAGACTTTTGTCTCTAGGAGGAAGAAAGCCACAAGCTAAGGGCAAGCAAGGAGAAAGAGAGGATTCGGGGCCTTCATGATTCTGTTGAGCAGATACACCAATACTAACCCGTGCAGTACATCTCCAGCCTGGCCATTGCAGGCAAGTAAGGAACTTCAAAGAATACAGTTCTATCATTATCAAATGAAACGTGATCATATAAACAAGAAATAGTTATTTAATGAAGCAACTATTTGCTAGGTGCTCCATTAGGTAAAGTCAAGCACATCATTAACTGATATAGGTAACAAACACAAAATAACACCGAAACCCTAAACCCTAAGTATGTTCGTTAACACAAAAAACACAAACAGAATTCCCCTGTTGAAAATCTGAGGCTTCCAGACGTGGTCAAAAAATAAAATCTAGGGGCAGCTGGATGGCTTAGTCGGTTTAGCATCTGACTCTTGATCTCAGCTCAGGTCTGGATCTCAGGGTCATGAGTTCAAGCCCCACGTTGAGCTGCACGCTGGGCATGAAGTCTACTTAAAAAAATAATAACAATATAAAAAGAATAAAAGAATAAAATCTAACTGTGGATTATTTAAATAAAACATACATTTTTTTTTACAAGAAAAAGGTTAAAAATAAAGAGCTAGCTCACAATAGACTGTGAAAAGGTGAGCAAAAAGAAAGCAAGAGTGGCAATGTCAAACAAAGCAAATTCAAGGACAAATGTGTTCAACAAGACAAAGAAGAATACTGTGTGGTAATAAAAGATGCACTCCACAAAGAAGATGTAACAGTCATAAAACTTGACACAATATGTGATACAGAAGACAACTTGCATCAAACAAAATTCCAAACTTTTTAAATTTCTTAAAAAAATTTTTTAATCTTTATTTTTGAGAAAGAGACAGAGTGTGAGCAGGAGGAGGAACAGAGAGGGAGACACAGAATCCAAAGCAGGGTCCAGGCTCCGAGGTGTCGGCACAGAGCCCGACACGGGGCTCGAACCCATAAACTATAAGATCATGACCTGAGCCGAAGTTGGATGCCCAACGAACTGAGCCACCCAGGCACCCCCTAACTTTTTAAAGTTTTAAAAAATATGTATTTATTTTGAAAGACAGAGATAGAGAGCAAGTAGGGGAGGGGCAGAGAGAGAGGGAAACAGAGAATCCCCAGCAGGATCTCCACCATCATTGCAGAGCCTGTCGCAGGGCTCAAACTCACAAACCTCGAGTTCATGACCTGAGCCAAAATCAAGAGTTGGACACTCAACCCACTGGCCCATCCCGGTGCCCTCAGAAAACGCCTAACATGGGGCGCCTGGGTGGCGCAGTCGGTTAAGCGTCCGACTTCAGCCAGGTCACGATCTCGCGGTCCGTGGGTTCGAGCCCCGCGTCGGGCTCTGGGCTGATGGCTCAGAGCCTGGAGCCTATTTCCGATTCTGTGTCTCCCTCTCTCTGCCCCTCCCCCATTCATCTGTGTCTCTCTCTGTCCCAAAAATAAATAAACGTTGAAAAAAAAAAATTAAAAAAAAAAAAAGAAAAAAAAAAAAAAAAAAAAAAAAAAAAAAAAAAGAAAACGCCTAACAAGGCAAGAAGAATTTGAGAATGTATATATATGATGCAAGTTTTACTACATTTATTTCAGAAGTTGATGGATCACATAGATTTTTTTAATTATTTAAATATTTAAAAATTTTTAATTATTTAAAAATAATA